TAATGAAGTAAGTATAGGAAAATTTTAGAAAGATGTAATTACTCAATCTTAATTGTGCGATGGATATTGGCAATTGGCAATTTAAATAGCTGAGCTGATCAGAGGGTGCAAAGCTTGAGTAAGAATCTGTCACGAGTGTGAACCGGCTGCAATGTTAATATCTGCTTCAAAAAGTTTTGTTTTAAAACATTCTAAGATATCATATTTTTGTCGTCTTACGTCCACTCACCATAACCCAACTCACGAAACAACTCTCTAATCTGACATACCCACTTGAATTTGCCTTGTGTTATTGATCAGGGATAGCTGGCCATCAAAACGCAGTCTCAGGAGACGACTGTTGTCCATTCTTAACACTTTCGTAAGAAAGGTGAGACAAGATTTATAGTTTGGTAAATTCAGTATGTGGAACATGTTTCAAGGTGAAGCAAAGCACTTGAAGTTAATTTAGGAAGTTACAATAATCATTTAAAAAAGTCGGTCTATACTACCTCAAGTATGTCGGTATAACGTATATCCCAAATTAGAAGACATCCGTAAAAAATATTTAGTATTGCTGTTTGGTATATTTTTTGAATTGCGTCTCTAAACAAGGAGACGAGACGAGAATTTTTGCACCAAGGTAATTAAACCTTTTAACCACATCCAGCCTTGAATCATCCAAGATAAGTTTGGTTGGGTTGCCGAGGGAGAGTTCCTAAAGCACATAACTTTAGTTTTTTGAGCATTGATTGTAAGGGAATTTTCATTTGCGTACCTGGCCAGACAAGTCAACAACTTCTGTAAGTGAGTATCTGATTCAGGTAATAAAACGACATCGTCTGCGTAGTATGCTCTGAAAAGAGTCCATCGAAAAAAACTCAATATCCGCAAGAAACATCGAAAAAAAGTTGACTTTTTTGTGGATCATAGGGAACAGCACTTGACCCCAAGATGACGAGACAGAAATATGTTATTGAGTAGTGAACACAGATATCTGGTAGGTTTTTCAAAAATTCGTACGGCATTAGGTCTATACCAGGGGTCTTATTGGGCTTACAATTAAATTAAACGCCTAAGTTTAAACCACAATTTTTATATTACCGTCTGAGGTCTTAATAAAAGTAAATTAGGAGAATAATTATGACGCCCTACATAAATAAAATAACTCCTGGAAATAATGTCGACATGGATAATAATTTTACGCGCTCATTCATAATTATTAAAAATAGTCTTGATATGAATATGTTCCTGATCATTTGACTGCTTAATATAGAAAAATCGATTTTTTTTGCAATCTTGCCTTTGTGAACCAAAATATAATAAAAATGACTAGTACAATGAACAGAAAATTGTTTTAACGCATGGCACACACTATATTTAAATGCTCCATAGAGAAAGATATTGAACCTTTTCATTGTTTAAACTTTTAATTGCGATATTGACAAAAATACAAAAATTAAATTAAATTATCTAGTAGATATTGGTGCGGTTTGACGTTTGGACAAGCAGACCGTAATTGGGGAAAAAACTTAGGCGTATCGACGCACTAACAGTCGGAAAAGCTATTATGCATACATACACGGACGTGGCTTGCTGAATTCAAAGGAAAATATAATGTCATGCGGAACACATATTTCCGTGGACATCCTCCCCGTCATAATGAAATGATAAGGGCGGAAACTGTGCGGCATCCCTAGCCCAGCAACAGCAACCGAGATCGCTGAGTCTGAAGGCAACGAGCAACGGCAGTATGAAACGTGGGGCACCTTGTCGCTATTTCGCGGTCATTATTATTTGGATTTATTGTTATAATTAGACCTTAAAAACAGTTGAAGCACACGTAACGTTACGTGCGCTCGTTGCTTAAGTCGGCAAGCACGATTTAAGGGTTTAGGCGAAGGTAAGTTTTTTATATTTTTTATACATTATGCTTGTGTTGCTTTATTCTAATTAAATAAACACAAAGCACAACACCCTCCGCCGCTTATTAGATATTTTTTGTCCGACGGGATCATTATTTGGTCAATTTTAAAAAACAGAATTTGAAATAATTCATAACAAACAAACCCTTAAAATACGGCGAAAAATTAAAATAAGGAATTAACCAATTGCAGAAATTTTCGAGTCTAGCTTATAGAACTGGTCCCAGATGGATTTATTGATTCATTTATTTATTTACAATTCCAAAAGCCAATATTAAACATATACGATTTCATGGTCAGGAATACAAAAGAAACTTAACTGGATATTTCCTAAGCTAATATTAAAAATGTGTTACAAAATTTAGGCTTAAGTAGAATAAATCCGTATCACTGTTAACGGCATACTTCTCAAAGCCTATGTGCATCGAAATATTAATGTTATGAATAAAATGAATTAAGTTTTAAGTACCGAAAGTTTTTTTTTGAAAGATTTTGGCAAAATGGCATAGAAGTGCTGTGCTAAATAGTTATAAAAAATAATATTGAGGGGCACTGCCAAAGTCGGAGAATATTTAAAAAAAATTGGCGGCGTGCCATCAGACCTTGGTGCTTTTTTTGGCTCTTTTTGGTCCTTAAGTATAGAAAGAACAGTCCAATTAGCGATTCAACAGATAACAAAACTTAATATAGTCAACCTCTTATTAATAATCAATTTATGGGAATGATGAAATTCAAATTATTTCGCATTTAGCATTAAAGCCGGACGTGCGTATAACGCAAATATCAAAATCAAAACTATCTTGGACCCAAGGAGTATCGATTTTTCTTACTCTGGGCCAGCAGGTACAGAAATCTGAACCTCTCACGGCAATGGCAGCACATCAAATTTCATTTCAGTTGCCACCCTCGCAAGCCGTGCCAGGATATAAAAAAATACGTTTCACAAAAAATAGTCGTTGGTGTCTTCGCTTGTAATCAATTATCTAAGTAGTAATATAAATCTGGTTGACGAGGTTGCCAGATAAACCAACTTAGCAACAAGTCTTTCAATCTGAGGACCTTCTCCAGCACGGTTCAATGCTTAAACTTTTTAGCTCATAGCTCATGGATAAAAGCTAAATTGCTGACCTGCCGCGAATGAAAAACAGAATCAAAACTAACCAAGCTCCATTATCTATGCTCATGTCATCTAAAACTTTGTCTAACATTCGGGAATAGTTAACCTAAATCAAAGTGGAGTGAAAAAATCTTATTAACAAGTGCATGCCGTTTTTATCACCAATATGTTCCCCATCCTGTAGTCACAAAATTCCTAATTTATTAAAGTGGTAATATTCATCATTCCCGTTTTTATTGGCTTGTTTGATCTGAAAATGCAATTCCCTTCTTTTGGGAGCATAAACCGTAATAGTAAACTGCGACTTAAAGGTGGTTTTCATTAATAATTATAATATAACATTAATATTCTATTCAAAGGGCGGTAATACCTATGCCCCTAAGTCATAATGTAGATATTAAAAAATGTTTGACTTTTTTTTTATCATGTTTCTTATGAGCAGAACATAAGTATTACAAGAAAATTCAACAAAGCAAACAGTTGAACTGAGGTGGCTTTTACTTAATGAAAATCCATTTAACAAAATAAATAAGAACTAAAAGTTCAGATTTTCACGAAATTATATATTTTCATATGAAAATTGTTTCTACAACACCAAATGTAATATTTATAAACTACCTGCTACTATATATAGCGAAAAATGACTTATTTAATGATGTTGTGAGAATTTAAGTTCATACATTTGAATGTTTCATTTTGTTAATCTGCATAGATTCCAATAAATTTAATTTTCTACTGTTAGGTTAATTTTTCAAGGACACTTCCACAGGCTACTGTAATACTTTTTACAAAACTTCTGGATTCCTCCTGCGTCTCTTCTTGCTGAGCCGGACTTGCTGACGTTTCGCCAATCATCCTATTGGGTTTTTCAGAGCTTGACTGAAACTGTCTCGCATTTTAAAGTAAAAAAACAGACGCAGGAGGAATCCAGAAGTTTTGTAAAAAGTATTAATTTTCTACTTTTTGTGGCAGTATATCAAAAATGTCGTCAAAAATGTGTTTTTCTGTTTTTAAGTTTGTAGCATAATTAGAATCTAGACTATTGTTTTTAAACGCTCTTTTATGTTCGTTAATGCGTTTTTTGAAGGATCTACCTATTTGTCCGATATAAATTTTAGGACAACATCCACATTTCAACCTGTAGCGCCTTATTTTTGACATTTTGGACATTCCGTTTTATTGTTTAAAAATTTTCCTATTGTGTTGTTAGTTCTGAAAGTTATTTTTAAATCACATTTTGACAAATGTTTCATTTCACTGGGTTCTCCTATGTATGTAATTGTTTTAAATTGTACGGTTGAAATGTGGATCTAAAATTTGTATTGGACAAACAGGTAGATGCTTCAAGAAACGCATTAACGAACATAAAAGGGCGTTTAAAAACAATAGTCTAGATTTATATAATTATGCTACACACTTAAACACAGAAAAACACATTTTTGACGACAATTTTGATATTTTACAAACAGCCACAAAAAGTAGAAAATTAAATTTATTGTAAGCCATGGAGATTAACAATATGAGGCATTCAAATGTATTGCTTTCCCCTCAATTATATTTAAATACCTTTATTGAACTTAAATTCTCAACATTAATTAAGGTTTTATTGTCATTTTTCGGTATATATAGTCGCAGGTAGTTTGTAAATATTACATTGACACGGTGTTGTCGAAATTGTCATGTGAAAATATACAATTTCGTGAAAAGCAAACATCTATTATTTTCTGATATTTTGTTTTAGTTGTTTCTAGTACTAGAGCTCCATATGACATCAAATTTACTTTATTCGATGCACTCATCATTTAGATGTGTTTGTTATTAATATTTTCTATAAATAATTGATATCACTAAAAATTGATATTGATGGTATACTACGCATATATCCTCCCAAATTATTCGACAAATTTGCATAATAATTAAACGTCACGAGTTAATTTATAAGTTAAATTATTGCAATAAATTTATGTTTTTGTTTTCAGATCCTGTACTCGAAACCAATATTATATGATATCACCTCTGATCAACTACAAGCGACAATCACACAAAATGAAGATGCATTGTCGTTGAGGAGAAGGTAAGTCTCACTTAGTCATAAGTGAAATATTCTGTTTTCTGAATGGCCATTCTTTTATTAAAGCGCTTAATTTAACAGATTACCACAAGGCGTTTTATGCAATCTTTCACGTCCTCCAGAAATCGCTTTATCAAAGAAATTTAATTTGTAATGTGAAGGTCTAAAATTTAAGAACATTAATTAAGTAACCTAATAAAGTAACAAATTATTTAAGCGAGAGTTGGAGCTCAATTAAAAACGTTAATTATTACCAGTTGGTTTAATGAAATTTTTGATCAATGTTTCGACAAGATGTAGGAGAAAATAAAATATGCACGTAAATTCGTATTGAAAAAGACACTTCGAAGAAACGAAATCTGAGCGAGTAGACTTAACGTTCAAATCGAAAGATTAAAGATTAGCAGGATTTATTTACCCCGCCTTGTTTTTGGAAGCCGACATTAAAATGGTTCTCGCTAAACGCTTTCCGTTCAAAAATAAAATTAAAAGTAAAAATCTTCCAGATCCATTAGAAGTCCGGCGAAAGCAAAACAATAAATTTGCTCCGTTGAGCTTTTCTCAACTTATTCTGCTGTCGAAATTTTACCACGAATCGTTTTTTTTTCCTCTCGATAAAGTGTCCGGAAAACTCCTTCATCATTCAAGGCAAGATATTTTACTCAAATCTAGGTTCATATCATTATTATCCAAAAATGAATATTTTGTGTAAATGATTTTATAACTAATTTTTCCCAAAAAAACTAATTAGTGCAAAATGTGTTTTTTGAAAATCCAGCTTAACTACGCCAAAAATGTACGGCAATCTCAATCTATCTAAATGTCACCTTTAGTCCACAATCCACAATTTTTGTTTACGGGTCTAGAGTTTCCAAAGTTTATTTGTGTTTGTCATGACGACATAAGATCCACGCGAATCTCTTTTTTCCGCTCAAATGTCCACTGTATGTGTGATTAATCTGTGGACGAAACTTTAAAAAATATTTGCTCCAATGTCCTATCGCAAAGCGACGAACGTGACAAGACGCTTTATAGCTACCGTGCAGGCTACTTTCAATTCTGAACATGTCAGTGCATCAGAAGTGCCTCACATATTAAGTTATACAACAGTGATAGAGTGAGTTTTCCGACTTTTTCTGCTTTGATGTACAAAAGTTTCTACACAACTTTTTTTTTTATTTTAATGCTATTGCGACACGTAGCTCGTTCGGCTCACGAAATATTAAAAATATTATCTGAAATTTTAATAAATTCTCAATTGAAATAATTTTTTTACACATAATATGGTCTCTAACAACGAAAAAAATTACCGATAATATTTGTTTTTAATTTTATTTGTTAGAGTGCATTTTTTGTTCTAATTTATCAACCGAAACAAAAAAACGATTTGTCTGTCGAATTATCAATGTTACAAAAAGTACTGAATATTGCTTCGGCAATATTAGTAAGGCATTTAATTTGTTGATTAAATTGTTCTAAGTATTATGGCTGTCAAAGAGGACTTTGGAAATATTGAAAAATACGACATGTGCTTTGTTGTGAAAATACAAATTTGCACAGATATAAGGGATAATCAAGTATATTTTACTTTTACGTGAATTCTACAAATGTATTATGTAGGTATCCAGAACCAAGACAACCCAATAAAGGAATATTTGGTAGGCTTAAAACCAACATAATTAATTTTGGATCTTTTCGCAAAGGTCTTCCAAAAACGCATAATAAACCGTATTTTTAAATTTGTGAAATTAATAAATTAACAACTCCTTCAAATTCTTGCAGTAAAACTGGGGAAAGTGTTGACGTTTAAAAATCTACGTTTCTGGAAACTTTAAAAAAGCACAATTTTAAACCTTATAAATTTAACTGGTTCGATAATTTGAGTCCCGGGGACTAGAAGTTTTTCATTGGTATTTACCAAATATCAATAGAGTCCCTATCTCTATTTTTATAGGAAAATTATCTGCTCTATATGGAGCTTATATTAGCACTGCCCCCATTTTAAACTGGTTGTATATTCCCTGAAGCAACAAGGCAGATCCGGCCGTAGTATTTCGTGTTTTATTTTAGAAAGTATTATAAAATTTTGTGTATACGAGGGTAGCATCAAACAATGGAAAATCTGCGAAATTGCACTGAAGATAGGGATTAAATAAATTTACGTTTATACTAATAAAATAATAAAAAAATTACGTTTATACTAATTTCTTCTCTAAGAAATACAATTTATAAATTAATATAAATTAAAACTAATTTTGCGAGAGGAAAATAGATAACACGGAGTAAAAAAAATTCTTCTTGAATGAACTTTTAACTTAAAATAATAATTTATTATTAGATAGTAATTCATTTTAATGAACTAAAATTAACTAATTGTTAAATATATAATAATAATTTATTTGCGTTTCATAGGAAGTCATATCAGAATATTATAATACTGAATACATGAATTAGAAACATATGGCAAAGTATTATTTATGCATATTCGGAATGCACTTAGTGGAGAGGCTCTACTTGACCTGCTGATCTTTCTTTTCTGAAATAATTTAATTAATAACTCAAGTCATTCTGCAACATCTTCTAAGATGTTCTGGTGTAGCAAGACTATGATTATCAGGTCTGAGGTAATAACTTTTTCGTTCATTGATGAGGGATGCAGGTTCTTGTAATTAGAATAAATTTCGATGATCTACTGGACACTTTATTAACATGGTTTTATGAATCAATTTTCTATGGGAGACCCTTAGATATGGTCGCATAGTATTTTATTACTCCACACCATTTAGCAACTGACTTTAATTTAAAGTTGTTGTGAACTACAATTTCTCTAATTATGTCCATATTATTATTCATTATTTTAGGACGCAGGAGGCGAAAATTCTTGAATTATCAAGATTTTCTTTAACCAGTTTATTTAAAATGCTTGTTACTTTAGAATTATTTGTATGTGATGGAGCCAATTTTTTGGCCCTTCTCGTAGCCAACGTGGTTTGCTATTACATTATAAAAATTCGAAGAAGCAGAATCCATAGTCTTATAGGTATCGAAATTTCCAAATATCCAATCAATTTTAAAGCGAGCCAGTTTCATCGTTTAGTAATATATTTTCCAATTTATCATTTAGAGCTCGCATTTTCTGAACGTTGCAATCTACAATCACTTCGAGCAAATATCTACCCTATTGTTCCCGGCCTTTTCTCTGTGTATATAAGCAACCGACTGGGCTGACCACCACTACACCGAATCCTTTATAATCGTGGTCCGCTTCTTTAATGTACAACTAGAAAACCACTTACCCCAAATAAGGTGATTGGACTCCAGAGTACGAGGTATAAATTTGTCGAATTCGGTTACACGTTTTACTAAAGATCTTAACTTCCGTCAGACGGATGTTACTGCCTCGATAAGGTACTTTTAACGATTGCATATATTTAAATTGAGCACGTTCTACTTTCTATTAAATACTGCTCTTTGAGGAAACCCTAAATTGTTTTCCACTTCTATATAGTAGACCAATAAAAATTATTATTATTTAAAGTCTAAGAGTGTAATCTCTTCAGTTAGAACCAACTTGGGTTTTTGAAGTTCACTCAAACTGCAACATTTGGATTTATCTATGATTGTCTAGATATGGAACTGATACAAAAATTATAAAGGTGTGGTATAAGAGGAAATGCGAAAAAAAAAGGTTTTTATCGTATTTGGGAAATGGAAAGCAGATTGTTACAGTAACACAAGATAATAGATGGGGTTACTCAAGGTAATCTAGATATTGCACAAGGGAGCATAATAGGGTTAATAATTTTCATATTGTTTAATAACGACTTAATAGCTCCTTAATACAGAAAACAAACCCATTGTTAAATATGCAGACGATATTAACTTAATTATTGCGAGATTTAAATTTGAAGGTTCAAAAATTATTTCCAGTAGTCACAGATTGCGTCACAAAGAATAAATTTATTCTAAATCAAAATAAGACCAACGAGCCAAAACAAGACGAGAAAGTTAATCACATAAAAGGCGCAAAATTTTTAGGCTTTCATCATGATTTAACAAAAAAAAACCAACCATGTTAAGTACTTAAATTATTGCCATATGAACTCTAGACCCCGCTAATTTCACCAACTACTTAAGTAATATGTTTACTATAAATAGAGGGTAAGTAGAATTATTATGAGAATTAACTAACTATTTAGAGGGTTGCCGATCCTTGCCGATTTTTTTTTTTTGCTAAGGAAGAACAGCTAAGTACCAACTTCAACTTCGAATAAGCTGAATCAAAGTATCTCTTAGGCAATTCAAAAGCAAAATTGATATAAATAAAGAACTCCCTTGAATAGTCGTATTTTAGTATTTATTCTGAGTAACTAAGCAGGTAATAAGCCTATTACTGCTGTTAGAACTTGTCTGCCTTGTGCAGCTGCTAATTTCGATGATATATGTACCAAACTCTGTATGGAGTTGAGGAAGTTAAGCTTAGTCATCACATTAATATTTTGGCAAAAATAATGCTTTGACGTTATGATGGTAGAATTTCACTAGCTACCAGATCTACGATAAGCAATGGCCCTATTTTTGGGTACTGACATATCATTAATTTTTTAACAACTTAAAAATTGTCTGTCTGTGAATTTGCAGAGGAAGTTGATACAATCTCTTGCGTTAATATCAAACAGTTTATCATCATGACATTTCCAGGTCCCCGAATCAGAGAACGTTATGAATTTTTCAACAGGAAAATAAAATTTTCGGCGCTTGTAGGGATATTATTTTAGTAAGGCACTTTCCTTAGGTGCGATAATTTTGCCAGCGCTAAGTAAAGTGCTCGTTTAATAACTTTATGAGAAATTGGTTTCACTATCTCGAAACACAATTACCCCATCATTACGCAATTATTATCGAGCAAAACGCGTTGACCTTTTAAAGGAAAACTTTTCTTCGATAAACTTGTTCCGTCGAGTAAGATTTCCGACTTATAAGTGATTCGATTATCTTTATGT